CCCCCACTTCGCCTGGCTGGGGGTTTATGAAAAAAAAAAAAAAAAAAAAAAAAAAAAAAGAGGAAATAAAGTAGCAGATTCCAGTCAGTCTCATCCTGGTGAAAACCAAAGGGTGGTAAGTGTTTAGCAATGATAAGGGGAATTACAGCTCCATTTGATGTAACAGCAGCTAATGTAATAGCAATTTTGTACACCGCTTATTTTGCAACCCTCAAAAATCATTAAAATTGATCCAATTAATTGAACAAATTACATAATTATATATTAAGGGGAGATTAAGAAATACCAGACAAATTGCTATGCACACTTACATACACCATGTTTGCATTTACCCACTTGTCTATGAAAGATCTGAAACCAGTTTTGACTGCAGAGTCTGCAAGCACAACATAATGTCCCTCTTTTTAAAAAATTCAAGTATGAGAAGTAAGATAAAGAAAAAAATACTGAGGGAAGAAGATTGGACAAGGAGAGAACTTCATGTTTCTTGAGTTACTAAGGGAACAAATCAAAGAATGCAAGTTTGTCTAAGAGCAAAAGGAGTCAGGTCTCTGCACAGAGGAGACGTTTGCTTCATCAATTTTCACAAAATTAAAGTAAGGTTTTGCAACAAATACTAACCTCCCAGCCAAATCATCATACAATATAAACCAGAAAATACTGTCATTGTTCTGAAGAAAAGATTGATTTCTTAGTTCTCCCGTAAAATTGATGGGAAAATAGAAAATGTGTGCATTGAGACTAATGTGCAGAAAGGCCGTTTAGAAAGCAGACTTGCAGCTTGCTGAAAGTTTAATTTTGACCTGGACTGAAGAGTGTGATGGGTTTTCTTGTTTGTTTCGGCATTTTTCATGTGGCTCCCCCCAGCAAGCTGTAGTCTTAATGGTCCTTCAGGCAAATAAGTAACTCCTGACTCCTAAAAATACTGTCTCACTTGATTTTGTTTACACCTCAGTGGTGCTTTTTTTGTACAGGAGGAAGGCATATTATAACATAAAAACCTGTGTCATTTGGCTTATACACTCTGAAATGAAAATTTCTATATTTCAACATTTCTTTTTTTCCCTTCTGTCACTAATCAGATCTTCTTTGGTAAATTTTCCAGTTGCTGATTTCAGGCAAGGATTGTAGTTTATAATAGTTTATAATATAAACAAGCTTAAGTAAGCTAGTATGTAAGTATTAGCGTTGATTAGCTTTAGCACAGAATTTTAAAAAACAGACAAAGATCAAGTAGCAGCTTTACATGACCCTTCACTCTATGTAAGACAATAATTATCTAAATAAGTAAACAAACTCACATTTTAAGTTTTCCTTTTGAACAGACTTTGACTTGACCGTGCCACCATTTAAACCGTAGTCAATTCAAGATCTATACACTGTCACATAACAGACTCATTCAAGATCTGTATTGCCACATAACAGGCTCCTCACAAAAAGCATCATTGCACTGACATAAGTCATGATATAGCAGAAAATCCACTGTAATGGTGCACAAAATTACCATCCCCTTGAGATATTAGGCTAGCGTGCGGTAACAGCTTTTTTTCTGTGGCTCATTCAGGGAATTTGACGCAATGGCAATTACACAGACTTTATCGTCATAGCAAAGGATGCTTTCATTGCACTGACAGCTGTAAACGTCCCATAAACTGTTTAGGAGGGGTGGAATGGTGTTTGAAAGGTCCTCAGGAAACTTGACAGACTAATTATTGCACTGAAAATACTTCCAAGAGAATAGATAAATCTTGAGAGGCACCTGACAGCAGA